AAGTTGGGCATGACCAAGGAGATTTACTTTTCCTAATGATACCATTTTTTAGTAATTCAGAAATCTCCTTTTTGCAGATTTTCATTACTTCATGGTTCATTTGGATGGGTTTGGATTTAGTAGGAATATTTTATTCCTTAAATCCCTTAATGTAAGGAAGTTTTACCATGTGTTTCTTCATATGTCAGAAAGATGTAGGAAGGTTAGAATACACTTCTTCTTCTAGTTTTATTTTAAACTGGTTAATCTTTTCAATTAGGATTGGATTGGTTAACTGTTCTTGAATTCTTTTGTGATTAATTTCTTCTTCGAGAAATTTCACTTGTTTAGTTTTTTGGTAAATCACGTTAAGATACTTAGAGATTAAATGATCTTTAAGTTGTTTTAATTTTTTAACTTCTGGTTTGATTACAAACTTAAAATTTACTGATTGACAAAGTAGTTTCGTGGTTACACCATTTGTATCTGTTGTAAATGAATACAATAAATATACAAAGGGTAAACCAAGGATAACATCATCAGTCATATCCTTTACTAAGATAAAGAATGTTTTGAAACATACATTATCTTGACAGATATGCACACTTGACAGTTTATATTTAACATTCATTTTACTACCATTTGCTGAACTAAGTCTTTCAATGATTTTTTGATAGTATTTAGTTGGGATAATGCCTTCCTGTATACAGTTTACATCTGTACCAGTGTCAATTAAGACAATGGTTTCTAATTCAAAATCTTTATCAATGATGATTTTTACTTTAGAATGCCATTTTTGGAAACTAATTTTATTGACTAAATTAATCCTAAGATTATCACTAGCTTGGGAACATCCATCGTGAGATGGCAGGTTCGTTACACCCAAAGGATCCACTAAAGAGGTGGAGGTTATGGGATATAAACAAATTGCGGAATAATGAAAGACATGAGGAGAATCACAGGCTGTAGATATAAAGAGTGGTGATGAATTTTACTATTTATCAACAAAATATAAATTACAATACAGAAATAAAATACTTATAACACTAGTACTAGTGGACTAGTGGAAGTGTGTGACTAAGGATAAAGTTCTGCTTCTTCATTTGCATCATTATGAAGATTAGAGATACAATTTGAGAAAAGGATGGCTAGTGTATACTGGCTTGTAATGCGTTTTTCCGAAGAAAAAACTTATGTTGCTGGTGAAGATTGAAGCCCTTATATAGGAGTAAGAAGCCTTCTGAGGGAATCTTGGAATGATTTCTCTTTGTTGCTTTGACTAAGGTAAAATGCTTTCGCTTTACCTTTCGGTGGAAAAGTAGGAGTGAAGAGAGGATAAACTACAAAAACATGAGTTACAAAGATTAATGGAGAATATTCTATTCGCACTAAAAATTCCATTAAAATTAATTTAGCTTGAATTTTTAAGGGGCCTTCATTGGTGAATTGTTTAATCACCAATGATTATTATGGTTTTGAAATACTTTCTGAAATTGATTGCCTAAAATATTTACTTTCATTAACTGGACAGTCTGATTTTTCAAGATCTTCGGTTTCTCTCTTTTTTTCTCTCTCCAAAATTCATTGCCTAATTTTGCATTGAAATATAATATCAAGGTATTGGGAATCACGATGCAATATAGATTGCCTAAAATTTCTTGGTGCACTTCTATTGTCCAAAATTAATGCATAAAATTTTCTAAAAGTATGTTCATAGACCTCTTATATTTTTACGAAGACTTCAAAAATGTTATCTTTCTTTATTCCATTTTCATTACTTTTCATTTATCTTTTGAGTTTGTTAGGATAGATAAATTTCTTTTTGGGTTTTGGTATCATAAATTTCTTAGTTAATTTGAATGATGCGATGGGTTTTTTGTTTTTCTCATCTTAATCTTGCTTTTCATTTTATTGATGCTACGTTGATATACAAATTTGTGTCCAACAATACCCTTAAGTTTTACTTTTTTTGGTCCCAAATATGTTACCATTTCTTAATCATGAACCCAATTGACCAACTAAATATGTGCTTGCAAGTCTTTAAAATGCACTGTGTTTATTCAAATGTTTGCTTAATGATAAACAAAGTGATGCCTTTTTCCTCCCAATTTTTTGGTGTGGTATTATGGTGGTTGTGGCAGTTGTTTGTAAATGTTGTGTTGATGTCTCAAGGTAATTGTAACTCCCATGACTATTTGTGGAGAAAAAGAGAAGTATAAGTCGTAGAAATGGAGGCCATAGGGGAAGGGAACCCGCATATAATGTATAACTTCATTTGTAGAGAAATCTATTGGCAGTGATAGACAATCTATTAATAACGATATGTCCTTGCTTGACGATTGTTTGCTCATATTTGTCTAATGCACTCCTCATGAAATGGTTTTCTACTGAATTGGTTAGTGATGCCCCCATATATATTGCTCAATTTCCAACACATTATTCATATATGTTTGATTTCCACTGAATTTGTTACTCATATATGAAATTAAGATTGCCTATTAAGAAGGGTAATGAATTTGAGTGTTTCTCTCTGGTTTCAAAAGTATATTTCTAACTATGCATGACCATGAACAAAACATCAACATAGTAGCATAGTTGCAACTCCTCTAGCAATTCATTTCCTGCTTTTCAATGGACAACTATTACATCTTTTTCCTACCTAGCAAAAACAGAAAGGAAATTGTCTTTCTACCATACTTCGATTCTTCTCTTCTCCCTTTTTGATCTGTAAATTATAAGGATGCCATTATTAGCCTAGAAAAAAAGAGAAAAGCAAACTTAGCTGGGATAGAGGATGCAAAAAAGTTGATTTTGGTTTAGCATTGTCAAATTACATACATTGGAGCATAGATTTAGAAGCATAGCTTGATTTGACTCTTTGTTTGGATAATATGAATGTGGTGTTACTGTGATGATGTAAGAGTTTTTAGAGTAAAGTAAGTCTCAATGCGTGTATTAAGATGCTTACTTCATTACTATGATGGTGTTGCAGTGGTTCGGAAATTGTTATGCAAGGAAATACACTATTGTGATGGTAGTACAATAAATTTGAGTATATAAAATTGTGTATATAAGTTGAGAATTTCGTGGGGTGCTATTTTAGAAGAAACTCTATCGAATTTTTTTAAAAATTAGTAGAGGCAAATTAGTTGGCAATTTTTCTAATTACGATATATTATATTATTTAGTGCCTTCAGACACGGACATTAGCTACTTATCTAATAAAACAGAATTAAAAAATAAGAAAACTTTCATATCTAAATTGCATGAATTAAGTTAAGGGTAATTACGTAATACACAAATATGTAAAATTAAAATGTGTACATGGTCACCAACTATTTAAGAAAGTGACGACTTAATGACTGAAAATTTTGTGCTAGACTTTAAAAAAAAAATAAGTTCTCGTACTTTTTCCCAATTTTTTCAAAAAATAACGGGCTAGGTTTATATTCTCAAGGACTCCAAGTATGAAATATAAAAATAGATATTAACATTCAAAAATACAAGACAGCAATGCTCCGTGTATAGGGCCTAGGCGAGGAGAATAATCTAAGGATTGGGCTTACACCAGGAAATACTTGCCGAATCAATGGGCTGGGCCAAGACCAACCTACCAATTCGTTTAGATTAAATTGTAGTCCATCCCAATAGGAATTTCGATAAATTTTATTTTTATAGTTTGTATTCAAATCCTTTAAGAATTTGATCAGATTCGAATAATTAAATTAAATAATATTTTTAATTCAATATAATCAAATAATAACTGAATTTCATCATAAATAAGGGTGTTTGTAGGCCGGATTAACCATAGGTCTTGTTACCTGAAAAAAAATAAGCCGAAACCAAATAGTTGGTCTCTATCTGAGCCCAATATCATTAAAAGGAAGACATAGGCCTACCCCAAATTCATTACTCAGTTCTAAACTCAGCGTAATAGCCCGCCCGCAAAATCCTGTTAAAACTTGGCCTAAGAACCCGCCCTCCCACACAGTCTGCCCAACCCTTTCTTTGAAAAAAAATTATATTGTTAGACCATTGAATCTGAAATTTTGAAATAGTTCCTAGTTCCCCAATATTAGAATTTGAAGTTTTAAAAATTAAGACATTATAAATAATATATTTTTTTTTTTTCATGTGTTAAGCATACTTGTTTTAAAAAATAAAATTATGCAAATGATAGATAGATGGGTATGTGCCAACTTAGTTGGGATGTGCTCATTCTATTGTGACGTAGTTCCTCCCCTATTACCTAACCCGCCCAGTAGGCTTGCCCAAAAGGCCAGCTTAATAAGCTCATGGGCTGGACTGTGGGTAGTCTATCCTTACCCAAAGCCTGGCCCGGCCCACCTACTAACTCACCTTGGTATTTGTTTGGGTCTACCCTACCCAAGTCTAGCCTAAAAAAAAAAATTTGTGAGCCTAGGTCGATCTGGTCCATGGACACCCTTAATCATAAATTTATACAGACATAAATAAAAATATATTATTGGGATTAAATAATAATCACATCAAATGTAATAATATCCAAATACATTAAGAATGATATAACATATTTGAATTTAGATTATTGATTAAAAAAATCCACATCCATTTAAATGAATTCGAGTTCGGATCAAATTCGAATAAATATTCGATCTATTAACATGCATACTTAGAATGATGAGAGAGAGAGAGACGTCATGCAATTTCTTGACATGGAATTTCATTATTAAAAAGTAATTTTTTGGTGGCATATCTTATTTTCTTTTAAAATCACAAATTACAAATTTTAAAAATTTTTCTATAGAATTATCCGCGCGACATAAACATGACTGAAATTGGTCCCCTACATACACATAGCCACAAGATTTATTTGCTTCTGCTTTTTCAAAAGTGTGTATCAATAGAACTATAAAAGAATACATTCTACGAGAGTAGAAAATATATAATATAATAGTGATATTATGTTATTAGTCTCACCCCCGGGATTATTATTTAATACTCAATTTACATGTAATTCAGATGCCTTCTGGTAATGACAGGCTTAAATTTGTGCCGCCCATTTGGAATCCAACGCATCCAATGGGCCTACCTAAAGGAGGACCTTAATGGCCCACCCGCGGAGCGCATACCTTACCATGAGATTCGGCCACGGCCCAGCGACATAAAAGCGCAAGATATACTAGCTCGAGATACATCAGCCCGGTTATATCAAACACGGTGACATGTGACATTTGGTTGTCTTGGTACATGATGGGCATCAAGCCACTCCGGTTGCGCCACATGTCCAGGAGACATGGAGACAACTTCTAATAACTTTAACAAACAAATATTCCTCGAAAATGAAATATTTGGATACATTCTGTTTTTGAGGATCGTGGGCACAGAATATATCAGGGTGACAGACCCTGTTACAGGACAACCAAAGAGGAGACCACAAAATTAGGGAACAAAAAGGAAGAATCGTAAAAATCCTAGATGACCAAATGTATAAATAGAAGACGAAACCACTATAAAAGAGAGTTCCATAATTTTTACTTGATATATATTGTGCGAAAAAGGCACCCAGCCAAGAGCCTTACAATAATCACTACCTTTTTCTTCGAGCAATGTAATTTTCCCCCTTCCCTAAAAGAATAAGACTCTCTATTACAGGGAATGTAACCTCAGCTGAGATGAAATATTTCTATTTTTCCCCCTTCCCTAAAAGAATAAGACTCTCTATTACAGTGAATGTAACCTCAGCTGAGATGAAATATTTATATCTTGTTATTTGATCTGACATCAACACTTTCCCATTAACCCAAGCATTCATAAATGACTCACCGGGGCTCGCACAACAGTTGTTTTGCAACTGGGTATAGTAATTTTGAGTTTCTTCACCTTCTAATATATTTATCACCAATTCTCTTACTAACAAGTCATGTGCGAGAGATCCGCTTGAATATAATGAGACATACTTAAATATATGGTAGATAAAGAAAATACTTGAAAAAATAATAATTATTCAAATGAACCCTATAGTATTATTTAGTAAATATCCTATTTATGTAAGAAAATAATTATTCAATATTAAAAAATAACACTTACAATATCTATTTAAAAATTTATTATTAGATGATATAGTGACACAGTTACATTCAACATACGTTTTTGTCGAGGAAGTTAAAAAAAAAAGACACTCCGCAAATGCACTCCCACGTTCACAGGGCCCGCCCAACATTATGAAAAAAAAAATCATGGATTTTAGGTCTCAAATTTTTAGAAGGCCCCATATTTTAGATACATAAGCACAAGTTGAAATTAAATACTCTCTCCCTCTTTTCGGTAAAAAATAAAACCAAAAGTTGAATTTTCTTTCTCGACAACATTAATACATCTCTTTATTTGTCTTCCTCTCCCTCTCACATAAAAAAATTTTAAAAAAATTAATTTTTTTAAAAGAATAATGTTAAAAATAAAAAGAGTTCAATTTAATATTTATGTTTTAAATCTTAAATTAGATTGAGCCCCCCTACACGTTCACACTGTGAATTCAACTACACCGTTCTACCGACATACTATTATGATTATTCAAATGTCAAAAGGACTTCAATATCTTATCCCTTTTAAAAAGCCAGATTTGGAAAAGAAAGTCACAAATATTTTATTGCAATGTCTCTTAAAGAAACTTATCTCTTTGTATGAGAGTGCATTGTACGTATGGCCAATATGTAAATATTTTATTGTATGAGTTGTCAATCTCACACTGCAAGGAAAGAAAAGGG